CCAAAATCTACAAAAAGTACACCCTCTGTACATTAGTGCATTGCAAATGACCGATCAAATTCTGTCACACAATTTAACATATAATTTTTTTAACACACAATTCTTTTTAACCATAGGTTACGTATTCTTCTAGTTGATCTAGTGACAATATGTTAATGTTTTACTCATGACAGATAAAGATCCCAAATACAGAAAGCAAATTTGCACACATGCAATTTCATCGAGAATGCTTTGTATATTTTTAAGAAACAAGAGAAAACTATCTTAGAGAGAAAATATAAATAGAGAAAATATAAAATTAAAAAAATTATAAATAATAATTGTGTAATCAATTTGCACTTGCAAAGTGACACGAATTGCAGTTGAATTGCAACCATTAATTGCAACTTACCATATTTTATGAAAACAATTTTTATCAGTTATTACATAAAGAAATGGCAACAACTCCAAAACATTTTACAGATTAAATGTCAATGGCCAAACACATAGAGAATAACTACAATTAAAAATTATTTCAAAATATGGAGGTAAATGGAACTACTATTACAAATTTGAAACAAGAGAAGGCCATATTTTCTGTATAGGTACTAGAAAATGGTTTAAAACAGTTGCACTAATAAAAAATTTAAAATTTATGCTTCTAAATATTTTATTAATTTTCTTGCTTTCAAATTTTAATACAAAGGTACCCTAAATTAGAAACTTCTTACTATGAAAATTTTTTTTACATCCCATGTTGGTTATTAGGTAAGAAATTTCAGGTCTTTGAAAATTATTCTCAAGAAATGAACTGCATTGACTTTACAATACACCATTTTTTAATGTTACAAAACAGATTCACAAAATATTCTTTCTACATATTTTGTAAAAATACATTCTTTTGCTCGTTCATTTTGTGAAATTACATAATATATGTAATAGATAGTAAGACAAAGACTGCTTATTCTTGCTAATATTTAAATATCTACATATTTTTTCAATTTAACTCAGAGCTGAAAATAGTTAAATTCTTTATTAACTAATATTCGACTCTATAAATGCCAAAACCTGAAATTCACAGCTGATGGTCTATCTGTTTGACTTTTACTGTATGATCTGCAGAACCAGCAATATTTTTCTGGCTTGAAATCTTTAACAAGTCGGTAAAATTTCCAAGCAAGCACCATTTAGTTACTTTCAAATATATCAAAATGTACGAACACTATTTGCAGTTTCATTTAGTTAAACAAGTGGTCAATTTCATATACACATTTTTTGCTTTACTATCTGACCACATTAAAAAAAATTGGTTTAAAATTTAATTTGTGTTTTCGCTTAAGCTATTTTCAATAGTTAATCATTTTAAACAAATGGCAGATTTTGGCGGATTTTTTTTTTTTTTTTTTTTAATTCTGAAGTGGTTAAAAGAAGCAACAAACGACAATAAAACCAAAATACAAAACCAGTCATAAGAAAATTGATTAAAAATACAAAATGATTTTTATAGCCCAAGATTTTATACATAAAAAATAATAACTTCTATATAAAGGCATATTTGCCAAGCTTGAAATATTGAAAACCAGGGGATTTTGAGAGTTTAGGGGGCTATGTGGCAATCCTATTTTAAAAGAACTCTGAATTCACCTTATGTATGAATACAGTTATCGATCTATTTAGAATATGATTCTGATAAAAATGTATCGGTAGGCAAGACCAACTTTTATTTATCAAAGTAATTTTAAATATGATGAAAATAAAATTATTAATTAACGTACATACTATTCTACAAACTTACTAATTCATTATTTATTGATATAAAAAAAGTAAATGCAAATATTAACTATATCAAAGGAACAGCTGGAATCGCAGTCTCGAACTAATGAGAACATCAAAGAAGTTTGACAACTGTTGCCAAAAAAACTGTCATCCATTTCTTCAAATGGTAGTAGATGAGCTTATAAATGAAGATATACTCACAAAATTAATACTTGGGAGGGAAAAAAAATCTCATATTAAAAATGATGTAGCAGCATAGAATCTGTGCTTGTAGTTTTATTTTCTGAAATGCCATTAAAATGTTATTTTTAAAAATAAATACAAATGATTCCATTAGTTAATTAAAAAACCCATTAAATTCCAATAGCTTCAGTAATAATAGTTTCACAAAATAAAATATTCAATAGCTTTCATAATTGGGCAAAAGATAAAATAGCAGGAAAAAAGAAATAATTAAACCAATATTAGGGGCACCACCTAATAAATGACTAACTAAAAATGGCACATCACATACTACATTATTATCTTAATTCTGTCCTTTGTAAACTGACTTCAGAACAGAAAGAAGACAAAACTTAGCAAAGCAAGTCTGAAAAGCTATAAGCAGTTTCTGCTGCATGATAATGCACAGTTACTACTTATAACATCAAACAGTGTCTTAAAAAAGAAAACTGTTTTCAAGTACCTCTTTTACTTTCATATGATGGCTAGACTACTTTCTCTTCCTTAAAATCAAGTCTTCCATTGAACGCCTTTATTTTAATATTTCTAAAGAGATTCAGAACACTGTAAGCAAAAACTTAATGAGGGGTAGTCTATATTTTAGGCTGCTCATTAGACTATTGCCAAATTGTTTCATTTATGGCAACTGGAGTATTTTATGTTGAATGTTATTGAAACTCTACTATGACATGATTCAAGTATTTCGACTGTTGGGAAAACATTTCTCAGGGCTTATTTATACATTAGAAGTTGATTAGGAAGTATGTTGTTTATTTTGTGCTTTACACCATAAAATGCCTGCTGGTGCCAAGGTTAACCTGAAGTTTCTGTATGCTCTGGAACCAATGGGGAGAAAAAACATCAGTTGACTGGTATGTAAATGAAGATTTAAATGGCTTTGTTCACCTTTGGGTAAATATAAATTACGCAGCCACATTTAAAGATTCAGAAACTGGAGCTCCTATCAATTCCATGGAAGGAATGTGGAGTGTAATAAAACGGGATTTTTGAAAAATCCCACCAGCAGTAAAGAGGATATTTTTACATTTGTGAACTTATATGGAAATAGCAATACAGATTCTAGTTCACATTTCTAGTTTAAACAGATTTTTGGACTATTTTCGGTGCTACTTTGGTAGACGGTTGCACGGATTTTTGGCGAATTACGTTGGCGCGATTTCTACAAACGTCAGCCATCTTGAAAAACGCTGTTTTTACGCATAGAAAGTATTCCAAAACTCCAAAAAAAAAAAAAAAAAAAAAAGTTAGAATAATGGATTAATTTTTTGTTGAAAATGTCGTTTTTTTAAGATGGCAGACAAGTGTAAATAATAATTTATGAGTATAATACTAAAGTAAGTTATACTTTCATTAGCAAAGAAGAGAATAAAACCCGCTATAAAAACCTTGTCCAGCGTTAATTAGATTAATTACTGAAATTGAATATCGAAATAAACATCATCAACATTTAAAAGAATTAGAATATTATTAAATTTAAACTAAAATACGTTATATAGAAATATATATATATATTATATAGAATAAATACATTTACTCAGTATAAATACTAAAGAAAGGTTAAATATTACTTTCATATAGCATAGAAATAGAATAAAAATACCACTATAAAAACATTGCGCCAAGTTTAATTGGATTAAATATTACGTAAATGATACGAATTAAAAGCATCATACCAACGTTTAAAAGAATTAAAATATGACTTAAATACTTTAAAATAAGTAAATAAGAACACTTCGTACAGTAGAGCTAAAATGACAGCAATTAGTTTATTTTCGGTAAAAAGGGAGGCAAAAAATGTCGGTAAAAAATGTCTAATAATTTCCTTACCGTACAGCGGTTATTTCTTCCAACATGACCACAATATCATATACGGCCGTTCTCAGAATCGGCTCTTCTAATGATCTTCATCTGTGATATACATTTTCGTACTTCATTGAAGAAGCAGTTAGCGAAGTTTCCTTTAAAAATTTAAAATAAATTTCCTCTAACCCTTGTAAGAATTTATAAATAAATCTTTGGCGCGAAATAAGGTCTCAAAGGACATTTTTTGATTCCGAACCAAAATTCTTGGTACTTATCAAAAACAACATTCATCTTTGAAGGAACATTTTTAAGGAATTCAAGATATGATTAATTTTAAAATGGCGCGGTAATGCACAAATTTCAGCACCTATCAGGAACTGAGTACAGGTCATTAATGCACAAATATTCTAAAACCAATCAGAGAGCTGATTACATCACGCCTAGAATTAAAATTATTTAATAATCATACTAATAAAATCATTTTAAAAAAGAATGCAAAATTAAATTGTATTTTAATATTTAACACCATAAATGAGCTTAAAACATAGATTAAAATTTATAGATTTAAAACCAATTACTTTTAAAGTAAGGTGACGTCAATGATTACATCATCCACAGCATAAATTTCGTAAAATATGATAAAAATACATTTTTATTTCAAATAAAAATCAAAATTAAATGATTTTTAATATTTAGAAGCCATAAAATATTTAAACCGGAATTTATGCATAATAACACGCATTATTTTTTTAAATAAAATGTCAACAAAGTAGCAGTTACCATAATAACTTATCCAGCATGGGTTTACCATAAGTCGTATTACTCGCCAAAGGAAAAATTGCCAAAAACTCGCCAAAATCCGTGCAACCGTCTACCAAAGTAGCACCCTATTTTCAGTTTATTTCAGATACAAGCCTATGCTACAGCCATTTTTTACTGTTTTTTAAATGGCACGATTCCATGTTAGTACAAATATGCACAGTATCTTTCTGTTAACGGAAATCAGAAAAATTTTTATCTTTATTTTTAAACACATAAGCAACTACAAACACATAGTATTACTATGTGTTAATGAATTAAATCAGATGAAAACCAACATCATTTTGATACCCTTTAGATTTATCACAGTTTTAATCCATTTACCGAATATAATTTAAATTTTGTATTGATAAGGAAATATGTATAAAATTAAAAAATACCTGTTTAACAGCTTGTTGAGCAGATTCACGAGAACAATAAGTAATAAAAGCATAACCCCGATTCTGTCCAGTCAGTGGATCCATCATAAGCCGCAAATCCCAAATCTGGCCACATTTTTCAAATACAGGTATTAATTCATCTTCAAAGATATTTTTAGGTATTTTTCCAACAAAAACCTAAAAACAGAAAATACATCATAAAGCATTAACCATAAAAAATTATCAGATAATGTATAAAGAGAAATACTCTGTAATTCTACCTCACAACCACTGCCAGGTGGAGCCTTATCCCAGTTAGGTGGAGGTCCTCCATATTTCCGTTGACCTGTTGTAACATCTAATGTGTAACCAGTTCGATCTAATATGGCCTACAGAAAAAAATAACTGGATAAAAGTTAATCAAATTTATTCAATACTTCATAAAATGGTACTTTTCCATTAACACCTGCCATACTTTTTGGCTCCTATATGCCAAGATATGGCTTGACTATCTAAGAACCGTATTTGAGTAAACAAGAAAAATTAAATATACAGATACATACCATTACAAAATTAACAGCAAAACACATGGCAGGTGCAACACAGAAAAATAGCCATAAAATTAACTCTCATACAATGACAGTTCAGTTATGAACTTAAAAGCAATTTTTGCTTTCCTGAACATTAGCCAGGCTTTGAAACTACAGCATTTAGTTGGTTTTCATCTGATTAATTTTACAAAAGTAATGCTTTTTATAAGTACTTCCTTCATTCTTTCAACTGCATCTTAATTTTGTTAAATTTTAAAACCTAATTTTATATTCAAAAACATACAAAAGTTTAACTTTTAATTCATAACAGGCCTTAAAATCTTTTATATTTTGTTATTTCTCCTTTTTACCTTAAAATGAACACAAATTTTTATGAAAATGCATCTTTTCAAAATTGATAGCTATAGCATGGTTCTTATGCACATCCACGATTTTTAATATTTTAACTTCTATGAACCAATACAAAACAATAACAGCAAAACATGTCTTACCACTTTGCAGACAGGTGCAATTTTAAGTAAAACTTGAAAATTTATAAAAGCTATTTATTTGATGAAATTTAAAGAGACTGACTAAATATATACAGATTTGACATTTTTGTCATCACGATTTCCTGTCTGCAGTGGATTCCATTATAAATTTTCTCTTTTCCTTATGCTTGCCTTCTTAGCAAATCTTTAATCTCTTTTATTTCTACCAGATACAATGTAATTTGTCAAAAATATGAATAACAAATAGGTATGTCCATCATAAAGCTTACATTTTTTCACTGTGTGTTATTTTACTAAGTATTAACGTCAACGCTTGTGTCACAGTGTCTAAATGGCATAAGCTTTCGGTCCCAACATTTCGCCTCGAGATGTTGTTGATACTACAGTCAAAAGTCGTTAATCCGGACTCGTCGGGACTTCGGCGATTCCGGATTATAGATCATCAGTTTAAATCTCATAAGATGGCATGCAGAAATTCTAAAATTAAAAATATGAAACCGTAATTTATGAAATAAAGAACAATTATGATCTAAAGGGTATCAAAATTTGCAAAAAAGAAAAAGCTTAATATTTATTTGTTTACTTTATTAAACATTTCTTTCAATGTAAGTTGTTTAAGTTTTGCTTCGTTTCATGTGATAATACTTTCTCTTTAATTCTATAAGCAGACATAATTTCTTGTTCAGTTACAAAGTTCCGCTGTTCAAGTCCTATAATTGCTGTGTCGAGAATACTGACTAATTTGTCAATCGAAATTTTTCGTCTTCAATAACCTCTGTCACTTTCTTCGCTATCGGAAGCGAATTATAATGACAAGGAACTTGTTTTAAATCATATCAAAGACGGAGCACATTGAGATGAAATACTACATTTGATAAGAAATTATAAGCCAAATAAAATAAAAACATCTGCTCTGAAGATAAGGATAGTGCTGACAGATCAACTTCCAATTCATTATGTGCCCCGCCACGGCATTCCCCCCCCGCCGAGCAGTTTGAAATTGATAAACAGATTTCGGATTTCAAAACATACTTTCGCTTTAGATCCTTTACATATTAACAAATATATATCGGAAATTCTATTTGATATAATCGAAAGTTTAAGCTTACTTTTATAAAATTGCTCTTACAGTCTGCAAAAAATAATAAGCTGGATCCAATTCGAAATTAAGGAACAACGCAATCATGCAACATTAACTGAAATAGATAATTTTTAGCTTATATTCCATTATACCATAAAACGCGCACCGCGAAAACGTATTCGCACTTGCACACACTATATGCGCAGTTGTAAAAGGTCTTACGCGCACGCGTAAACGCCTGTGTCAACGTGGCGCATGTGCAGAAAGTTTTTAGTTTTGAGGTCCGTATTATAGATCATTCCAAATTATGGGTGTCCGAATTAACGACTTTTGACTGTATTAATTTTTTTTTTTCCCTTTATAAGGTGAAATTTTTCAAACATATTCCAAAATTTAAAAAGCTATCTCTTTTATAATGAAAATATCCGAGCAGATTTATAGTGAATACATTTGCCTTGTAGCTTTTTCTAATTGTCAACTTGATTAAGTTACCTTTATTTTTTCTTCATCTGGACCTTTTGTTGTTACTGCTGGTGTTCCCATCTTTGTCTTTTGGCGATATGTTTTCATTATTCCACATAAATAAGCACTTTTGTTAGATACATGTTCAAGGCTACTGTCCATGAATTCTTTTAACACAGTTAAAGCACCATCAACAGGAAATTCTTTCAGAGCTTCCAGAGCTCTTTCGTCCAACTCAGAAAATGTTAATTTGCCTAAAAAATATAAAAAACTCAGCAGACATTCTTACTATTTTTGAAGGTAAGATAGAAAACTTTAAATAAGCATTACCTGCAGTAAAAAGTTCTTCTAATTTAAGTACAACATTTTCAGCTAAGCCATAATCCGAGAGCTCTTTGGATTTTGAATTTGTTTCCATCGGTTCACCATTTTTTTCTTCTGCCATCTCTTGATCATTTACTTCATTACCCTCAGCCATGCTATCAATAAATTTTTTTTAAAAATTTATATAAAAGCAGATTAAAATTTTTATTGCACATTTTGAAAGGTAAATTAATAAAGGAATGATAACCAACATTAAAATCCACAGTTTGGTATAATACACATAACTGCTCAAAATCAGTGACATTGCAAAGTTACATAAATGAAAAATTTAGTCTGCATATTCTCAGACCTATTTTGTGATGAACAAAATCGGTTAATCTTTGGATTATGGCAAGTTGGCAATTTTTTGGCAAAAATTTGGCGACCAAACCTGCTGCAGGAACCTGCTAGTTTCTGTTTGAACGCCATTTTGTTTTCACGAAGTAAAGGCATGTTTTTTTTTTTTTTTAACTCAACATTTTTTCCCAACAATCTGCTAGCCGAATTACGCTTATACTAGAACTTTTCTGGAACAAAAGTGCTTAATCATGACGAAGATTAGGTGCGAAATTGGGACAAAGTGCAGAATCGCCCACTGCTTGCCGCGTTTTTAAGAATTGCACATACACGTTATCATCCATGTACACGTCGACCTATTTTCACTTAAAAAACATCCCAGAATTGCACAAAAATGGCATTGAGCACACTCTTGACTTTATCCATGTACACTGCTAAAGTCCTAGCTAGTAACCTTTATCGCCTTATCAAAATGTCGCCAAACTACCAGTTACCATATTCCAAAGATTAGGCACAAAATCTATGTTTTGCTTTCAAAGCTTCAACTTTAGATGGTAATATTTTTAATTAAATTTAAATTTTCAGAAGAAACATTTTAAACAATCTTTCATACAGTAAAACATAATGACAAATGCCTGATTGACTACTGTGTTTACTTACATTAATAGTCACTGGCAATGTAAAAATTCTCTGGCTGCTTCTTACAGTTTTACAGAATGAGAATGGTCAGGAAAGAGTCCTCTTTTCTAACTCTGCCAGCCATCCAACCAGTATAGTGGTTAGTGATGATGACTACTGTGTTAGAGTGGTGACACTGAATACTGTAATGATGGGCCCGGGTCTGAACTCTGGAGACAGCATGGATGTTTTAAGTATATAGTGCCTGTATTGTAAGGGGGCACTAAAAATACATTACAAGTTGAGAGCCCTCTCAAGAAATTAGCACTAGGAAAAGAAGAGACCCTAAGATGGGACACCCTCCCAGAAATTTCTCCCTCAAAACTGGGAAAGGACTATTATTGCACAACCAACGGTGAAGTTTTGGTATCCTGAGTACTTCTACCTGTACCTGTCAAACTCTGCCCCTCTCAGCAAACTGACATACATGACATGGATCCTAGCAGATTCCTTGGCACGCCCACCTATATGGCGTGTATCGAAGTGTACATGGACAAAGTCAAGGAAGTACGCAATTCTAGAATTTTGTTTAAGTGAAAACAGGTCAATGTGTACATGGATACCGAGTTTGAGCAATATTTTTACTTGTTATTTTCGAGTTGGCGATTTTGAGAAACGCACGAAGCAGTGGGTGATTCTGCACTTTTCCAGTTTGTCACCAAGGGTACAGGCTCTCCTAGGAGTTGACCAGTCTTATCACACAGGCTGCTGTCATAAAACTCAGTCAATTCAAAAGTGAAATAAATGAAAGAACCAAAATGCTGTAAGAACTATGGAAATAATTTGTTAATCTTTATTGACACTAGCAAAGAAATTACATCAGGCCTCCCTACCAACTTGTATACTATAGATGTACTTTACTTTATTAAAAATATAAAATCAAGATTCAAATTATTGGAACTTATACTTACTACTCAGCTTATTAATAGAAGAATGCTTAATGACATATTTTATCTAATAATGACTATAAAAACAATTATCTGCAATTGTACATCTTTCTTTTTATTATTATTCTCTAATTTATGGGTTTAGTAACACTTGTTAACTTTTTATATCCGTTTTACAGTTTTCATCTGCCAAATTTGTTGAAACATTATATGCTAAGATAAGAAAATACACCTAGTCTGAGATGTAAACTATATTTCCTCCATAGCGTAAATAATTTTTTTGGGTGAAAAAAGGAGTCTTTTCATACCAATCAAAATATGGCAAAGTAATAAGGGATGCTTTATGTTCATTATAGCCACACACTCAAATGCTACTTGCCTTTTTTCTTAATATTTTATGGTGCATTATAGTTTCCTCATAAAATGAACCATAAACATACTGATATAACTTATATACATTAATTAAGCAGCTGTCTAATTTATTTCTCTACTACCACATAGCACTGCTTTGCACAAAGAATTTCGTGAAATGAATACTTATAACGAAAATCCGATAATAGTCAAAATATTTCAAATTCCTAAGAGAAAGTTTAGTTTAATGTTTAAGAAAGAAAACAAAAGAAATATATGCTTTTCATACAATACAATATCTGGGGCTGTGAGAGTTTTCAATGCAGAAAACTTGCACATATACCAATAAATTACTAAAATTGTTCTTTACAATGACCAACATTAAAAGTACTATGTTTTAAATGTAATGTAATAAAGTGCTCAAATTTATAATTTTACATCTCATAACAAGCTAGATGAAGGAAAACATCATTTTGTAATACCATTACTCTTACAATAGCTGTACTTTTTCTGGAGGGAGAGAGTTTCAAGAGATACAGAGTTGTATTTAAAAGTCAACACATACATGGTGTTAAAACAACGTATGTTCAAACTATTACACGATATATAAATACACATCAGTTATACATACTTTAAAAAGAATGCATGAATATGATTAACAAATCCGTGAAGACACAAAACATTATCAAACATATTAGAAAATGTACTGATTACTTACGGATATAATATGCAGGAACAATTAATAATAATAATAAATGTGTTTATGACATACCTACGTATAATTCACCAAGGTGATTATATATTTTGTTTATGAATTGAGGTATCCTACATTAAACGTTATATTACTTATGTGCAATAATTATATGGTAAACAAAGTATAAGCAATACCACTAAATCAGAATTAAACTGTTCGATCAAACTATTACACTCTCACGTACCGGCTTTTGAACGCAACGTGCTTTATACACGGGGTTCGCAAAAGTTACGACAAGGACAAAGACATGGCATTGAAAAATCAAATACCATTGAATCAACAAATTAACAGTATTAAGTAAGTGAAATATAAAAATTAATTTTTAATTACAAACTTACATTACTTTGCTCGGAATGCCACACGTCAAAGCAATGACACTGATAAAACAGAAGCCACCTCTAAACGATCAACCAAAAAAATTACCGGTACTGTGACCGTTGATTGTCATTTATGAGGTTATAGATACAGTTAACTTTGAGTAATCCAAGGAAAAAAACGTTCCAGTTAACTTTGAGAAAAAAAAACCAAGAATATAAATAAAATTTTTTGTTCGTCACTGTCTTAATAATTCGAGCCGTGGCATCTAGCACAGAATATTAGAAGATTAGCATAGAGTGCTGGATTATATTTATTATTTAAATATGAAGGGCAACTTTTTTTCAGGAGGTCTTTCACAAAGATACATTTTATTGGAAATTTACAATTATTAAAATTATCAGTCAGTTTATCTTATACATATATAAATTTATGCAATAATATTAAATAATAAATTTATTTAAAATTTAAATATATATTTTATGTATATAAATGTTAACTTTGGAGAAATTTTTTTACCAGATTATCAGATTTTAAAAACAAATTCCTTTAAAAGAGGAAACTTTTGATAACAACTCTTGAAGTTCTGTTAAAACATCTTCAGTTTTAAATATTATGAAATTTCTGGTTGTTTTAACAAAGTAATGTGAAAGCTTGCCCTAAAATAAAATGCAGTTTTTATTTCATTCTTTTTTGAAGTGCAAAATTACGTGTTTTGTTTGGCAGCGCTAAAGTGAGGTGTTGGGAGCATGCGCTCTTTTTGTAGCCGAAACCATGTGTTATTCCGCGTAATGTAATAACAGTTTCAGTTTCAAATATTTAATTTATTTCAACAACAGTTCAATAAAATTGTATCTGGTAAGAAAACAGTGAAATATATTTTAATTGTTCAATGTGTCTATCGTGCTTTTATGGTAATTATTATTAATGTGCAAATAATTAAACGCAAAAAAGTGACACGTTTATGCAATTGTTAGGTTATAAAACTTGTTTATAGTTTTGCGTAAAATATTTAAAAGATAAAATAGTTACCAAAAAAAAATTTAAATACGAAGTTACTTTTGTTCAACAACGGTTGTCACTAAATAGTTTTTCTGATTGAAGACCGAATATTCGTAGCACGGAATTATTTTAAATTTTCTGTATGAAACTACTAAGATGTGTCGAACAGTTCGCATATCTTTGAAACCCAACGTAATTCTATTGCCACTTTTTCTGATAATGTCGAGTCCACCGCCGGCCGAGCGGTAACGTCGCTGAACACAGATGGTTCCACCTGAGTTATGTTTCCGGCGAATGGGCTGTCTGCATGGTCTTTTTTGTGGTTTTGCCCATGTGTAACCCGTATACTACCCTCAAAGGCATTCCTGCAGTCAGGCAGATAGCCCTCGAGTGTTTTGCCATAATTAAATAAACCAAACCAAACGAAATTTCCGGAGAACAAGCTGGCTTCATGGAAGTTTCTCCCATGTGTAACGTAGATGCGACCCAGTTACCTTTAGAAAGTCCTCCACGAAAGCATCCTTAGGCAGATAGTCCTTATGTGCTTTGCTGTAATCAAATTGACCAAACCTGATAATGTTGAATTCATTAAAAAATGAACATTTATTCTGAATTGTTTCATGTTGAGATAATATTCTAGTTAATTAAAAAAAAATAATGGAAATGAAGGAGGCTGCTTAATTGTACATAAATTACACTACACTTTTACAAATTTCATAGAGATTTAATACACATTTGGGCTGAGTGAGTAAGACAGATTAATTCTGGTAGTTTGTCTAGGGACCAAATGACCCTTGTTCGTAGCTTTTTTCTCATGGGTGGCATGAAAATGAGTTAGATCCTCCATGCTCAGCCATAATAAATAGCCTTATGAGGCATTTAATGCAATTAATCCAAGAAAATGTTATTGGTAAAAGTTTACAATTTGGTGCCCCTTGTTTATTGGCGATCCTTTCTTGACGCCAAGATCGGTGCCAGGAAGTCACAATTTCAAGATGGCTGCTACACAAAACCAAAATAAGAAGTCGAAGAATTGCATAAGATCTGTGTCCATGTACACATTGATCTGTTTTTACTTAAAAAAATATCCTAGAATTGCACAAACTAGGCATTCTGCACTGCCATAAATATGTCCAGGTACACATCAATCTATTTTCATTTAAATAAAATTGGGAAGCTAAAACAAATTTAAAACTGTCGTGGTAACCAGAAGTGAGGTTTCATCGCCAAAATTTTTAAAAAAATGTCACCAATCGAAGGGGCACCCAATTCTACACTAAAGCCATGTTATTGAATAATCAAAATACCAGTTAAGCAGTGAAGGAGAACAAAATAATTTATTTGTATGTGCTGGAAGTATAAATTGATCAAAATAAATTAACAACTGATAGGTAGTTTAGCAGTAAAATATATAATTATGTATATGAGCTAAAAAATCCATATGGAATGTCTTTATTAATATACACTGTTCTCAGTTTAAAGCAGCAGCAAAAATTCTCTGTAAAATTTTAATTAGCAAAAATTCTCTTTAAATTTAGGGCATCGTAGAATAGAGGGTTTGTCTTTATTTGATTTGAAACATCATGTACATATTACAAAGTGCTAATATTCTTGTGTGTACTTACCAGTTATGTAACAGTTTCATATATTAAGCTGCCTCCCCCCCCACCGACAGAAGATGCAGAGTTTACGCATTTGTGGATTGTCATATTTACTCACATATTACTTCCTTGTTACCATGTAAAATGTATGCTTAAGTAGAAAAAATACATTGTATAAGCTGAAATATTACTGAAATTGATCACTTTAACTGAACTTTTTTATATGTCTATGATTTCTATATGTAATATGATAATATTAATATAGCTATTATGTGCATTTTAGGCTAAAGTGCAGAATTGCCCACTTATTTGTTTGGCGCTTTTTACAAGAGTAAGAAGAATTGAATTCTTGTCAATTTTCTTTGACTTTTTAAGTGAAAATGGGTTGATTTGTACATAGATAAAGTCAAGGGAGTGAGTGCACAATGCCCTTTTTATGCAATTCTGTAATATTTTTTTTTCAAAGTAAAAATAGATCCATGTGTACATGGATACCAAGTATGTGCAGTTCTTAAAAATGCGCCAAGCAGTGGGAGATCTGCACTTTCCCCGCATTTTAAGCCTTCCTTTTATAAATTGTATATACTGTTTAATTTTCCTTCTGAATTTTCAAAAGGTAAAATTAATAAACAATAGGATGAATCTTTACATTATGGTAACTTGGCGGATTTTTTGGCGAAACTTTGGTGACCAACCCTTCTACAGCAAACTGCTAGTTTTTTTTGGGGGGGGGATGCCATTTTGTTTTCATGAAGTAAAGGCATGGGCTAATCTTTGGAATAGGGTAACAGTAGTTTGGCGACATTTTGGTAAGGTGATAAAGGTTGATTCAGAAGTCAAACAACAAAAATCAGCGTTAAATCACAAAATTTTCACAGGACTAGTTTCGATGGTTTTACCGAACCATCATATTCAGCTGCAAAACCGCAAATGAACAAGATAGGAAATAATGTTTAGATAAGATAAGAAAGCCTGGACAAGAATAAGCAAGTGGCGCCATCTGTTGGCGAAACCAGAACTAAAACATAATTTCTCTAAAAGCCGAAGGCAAATTTGGATTGGAATTAGGATCGTTAACTAGAACAGAAAGATTTTTATGAATGTGAAATGCCTCTAGAAAATCCAGTTCTCCAATGGAAGATGTTTTTTGAATAATTTTGGCAGCAGAAAAATTGAAAGTGTGATTTTCGGACCAACAATGTTGAGCAACAGAAGACTTCTGTGTTTCCTTTTTTCTAACATATGCCTCATGTTCTTTGACGCGAAATTTTAAGGCTCTCTTAGTTTGGCCAATGTAAATTAAACTGCACTGGCAAGGAATCCTATAAATACCCCAGGAATTAATATCCGGAATGGGGTCCTTGAGTATGGAACTCGGAATTTTATTGATGAGAGAATAAACAACCCAAAAGTTAAATTTCTGCAAAATATGTGCAACTTTATAGCTAATTGATGGAAAGAAGGGAATGACAACAGAATTTTTATAATCTCCTAAAACAAGAGTGTGCCTTTTAGTGTGTTGAGATGAGAATTTTTTAACTGCTTGATTAATAATGTTGGGTGAAAAGCCCCTGTCAATAGCTATTGCTTTTAAATAATTTAGTTCTTCATCAAGGGCTAGTTTGGAGGAGCAAGCTTGAAGAGCACGGAAAACATAGGAATAAAATGAAGCTAACTTTTGTTTAGTCGGATGACATGATTTAAAGTGTGGTGGAAGGCAAACCGATGAAGGTTTACGGTAAACTGTAGTACTGAAGTTGGATGTGTTACGTGTGACCAGAATGTCGAGAAACGGAAGAGAATTGCAAGTCTCAAGTTCAAAAGTGAACTGAATAGAAGTGAACAGGATCAATAGAATTCATTGTTGAAAGAACTCTATTTAAATCATCTTTATTACCTTCAAACAGGGTAAAAGTATCGTCTACGTAGCGGAACCATGCCGGGAAGTTTAAAGTTTCAAACAATTTTGATTCATAATAATGCATGTAGATATCAGCCAGGATGGGACTGAGGGGGCTTCCCATGGCTAATCCCTCAGTTTGCTTGTAATATTTATTTTGGAAAACAAAATGTGTTTGTTTCAAACAGAGTTGAGTGAGAGAAATTAGCTCATCAATTTCGATGCAAGAGAAATGAAATTCGCGAAGTCTGGTTTCTAGACATCTTAATGCACCCTCCACTGGGACATTGGTGAATAATGATTTTACATCAAAAGAAACCATGAGTAAATTACGAGGAGAAATGTTTTTAACCTTTTTTACAAACTCTATTGTTAACCTTTTTTACAAACTCTATTGAATTTTTTATGGTGTAAATGTTATTGTCTAATAGATTGGAAAATCTAGAAACTAAATATTTAGCTAATGGATACGAGGCAGTACCTAAATTTGATACAATAGGGCGGAAAGGAATACCACTTTTATGAATTTTGGGAAGAGCATATAATCTGGCACAATTCGCAACAGATGGGATAAGCGAATGTTTTAAGTTGCTTGAAATGATTTGCGAAGATTTGATCGCAGTTTTTATTTTGGATAAGTCCGAAGGTGAAGGATCTTTAGGGATCGGATTATATGGTCCTTTGTTTAAGAGTTTAGTGCCACCATCGATGTAAGTGTTCTTATCCATGACGACTATCTGGCCACCTTTGTCGGCCTTTGAAATGACAATATCCGGGTTAGAATGAATCTCGCGCATTGTAGCTCTTTCTCTCGCAGTTAGATTTGGTTTCAAAGGTTTATTATTGAATTTCACATTATGAGCGATAAGATGCCTAATCATTTCTTTCTGTGAATCTGAAACTTTACTGAACTTGAAAGCTTTTTCGATAGGAGCCAAAATCTTTGGAATCGAGGGTTTACAGGTTTGTGAGAAGTTAAAATTATATTTTAGAATTCTCTCTTGTTCTTCTGAAAGACTAACATTAGAAATATTAACTATTGGCTTGATGTTTACAATGGGAAGATTTTTTGAACTACTTGAACTGGAAGACTGTAAAAGAAGTTTTTCGAATTTAACTGCAAGGGTGTTTTTATGACGGTTAACTGCATTCTCCGTTCTAGACCAAGGCTTTTGTTCAAGGGCACTGAATTTTGGATATGTTTTAGCGAGTTCCAGATGAAGCTTATAGAGTTCATGTTTAATTTTGGACAATTGTTGACGTGTATCCCTTATCACGGACCGAAGTAAGGCAAGTTTGCAATTAACAGAATTCTTGAAACGCGACTCGAAGGTTTTTGATTAGATTTGATTTGA